AGGTGCCTTCAGCCTAGTGAGTCCAGTTAAACTGTCAGGGTCAGCATCAATGTCGAAAGTCGTCAAACCCTAGGCTATTGATTTTGGGGGACTGCGTGACGCTACAGATCACTCCCCCTAGCTGGTTCGTGAGGACCCTAAGATGATACCAGCCGGAAGTAAAAGCCCTGTGGTTTCTCCACTGATAAAACTCTTCCAGTGGGCTTACTGCGTGAAGTGGCCCCTGGTTGTCTGAACTTTTTCCAGGGTGTCGTGGCAATTAGAAAGTAAAATACAATAAATCGAGTTGTAGGTCGATTGCAGTCCTCAGTTTTCTTTGACGTTCCGTCCAGTGCTCGTTGCACCTGGAATACAAATGAAAGTCCATAATACCACGAAAACGCCTCGTAAAATGGGAATTATGTGTGTACAAATATATCGAAAATAAAGTCAACGCTTATTTTCACCGTCTTTTTAGAAAAGTTTCGTTGCATGGTAATAAAAAATTGACATAAAAGGCAAAACATACGAGGAGTTTCACATCGCTGGTAAATAAGAAAAATGGTGCCTCGGAAAAGAAATATTGAATTTAAAAAAATGGTTGGCATATCTTATTTCACAATACTAAGTTGAATACGACTTCAAATACTCCGGGAACCTGATGGTTCGACCTGATCATGTTTTCTGTTGCGCCGATGGTTGTTGTAACTGTGCGTTACCAGGTTCATCGTCAAGAATTTCCACAATTTAGCTATCCGTCGGTCGGCTGTAGCGAGCTGAAACGTCACTTATAGTGGGGTTGCCTTCGAAATAAGCTGGTTTCAAACGGTCGATACTGACAGTATCTTTACGTCCGTCTCGCTCAATTATGTGGAATTTCTGGTGTCGCTTGATCACTTTGAACGGTCCGTCGTAGGGTGGTTCAAGTGGTCGACGAACGGCGTCATGGCGAATAAACACGTGTGATGTCTTTTGTAGACTGGAGTGAACGAAGACATCAGTCGTTTTGGGTCTAACAGGAGAAGGCTTAACTGAACGCACTGCGTTTGTAAGCCTAGTCTCGTACGATGCCCCGTTGGGAACATGTTTGAAAGTTGAAGGGGAAACAAATTCACCTGGTAGGCGAAGAAGGGTCCCATAGACGAGTTCTGCAGGGGTATATCCAGCATCAACTTTCAAGGCGTTACGAACACCTAGTAGGACTATAGGGAGAGCTTCGGTCCACTGGAGTATGTTTGTGCTGAAAGGGAAGCTTTCAGCTGTCGATGGAAACGCTCTACCATGCCATTTGCTTGTGGATGGTAGGCTGTCGTTCGGAACCGGGTGCAGCCTAAAAGTTCCGTTAGGGCGTGAAATAATCACACCCAAATTGGCGCCCACGGTCGGTTGTGACGTAAGATGGACATCCGAAGTTCGCGATTTATCTTTCTACGAAGACACGAACCACTACTTCAGCAGTAATATCCTTAATATGTACTGCTCCCGGCCATCGTGTGAAACGATCAACACAAGTGAAAAGGTAGGTGCATCCATTAGATTCTGGTAGGGGTCCTACAATGTCTATTTGGATGTGGTCGAAACGCATGTCTGGAGCTAGAAATGAGCCTAAAGGGCTTTTCGTGTGTCGCGTGACTTTACACTTTTGACAAGCTAAGCACGACTGAGCCCACTCCTTAACGCCTTTGTTCATCCCAGGCCAGCAGAAACGTTGTGCGATAAGCCTAATGGTGGCTCGTACACCTGGATGAGAGAGTTTGTGCAACGTATTGAAGACGTTGCGTCGACAACTCTTCGGAACTATTGGGCGTGGTTGACTAGCAGAGACATCGCACAAAATTGTAGCCTTGTCTGATCCAACCGGGCAAAGTCGCAGCTTGAGAGTTGTGGACGACAACTCATGATGCAGCTCAAGGTCTTCCTTTTGACGCCGAGCTAGTTCAACGAGATCAACCCTGGATATGGTTTATCGAAGCTATTCGTGATAGTGCGTCGGCTGCGGAGTTGTTTGCTCCAGAAATGTGGCGGATGTCTGACGTGAACTGGGAAATGTAATCCAGCTGTCGCGACTCACGAGGGGAGTATTTGTCAGACGCCGAGCTGAGGGAAAAGGTTAACGGTTTGTGGTCTGTGAAAATAATGAAATCACGACCCTCCACAGAATGTCGAAAGTGGCGTACAAAACAGTACATAGCCAGGAGTTCCCTACCAAATGTACTGTATCTTGTTTCCACGTCTTGCAGCCGCCTCGAGAGAAAGGCTAACGGTTGCCACTGTTGTCAGTCAATTGTTGCAAAACTGCTCCGATTACTGAGTCAGATGCATCAACAGCAATACCCGAAAGAGCATTGGCGTCATGATGCATGAGCATGGTTGCGTTCGAAATAGCTTCCTCGACTTTAGAGAAAGTAAGTCCAGCCACGTTGTCCAGAGCCACGAACTTCGTAGTTCCTCGAAGTAGGAATTCAAACAGGCCAAAAGGAGTGGTAGTGGCTGTTTTCGCGATATCTTCTGCTGCCATAGGTATCTGGTTATACGCTTTGACCAAATCGATTTTGGAGAAAATGTTCATTCCGCATACGGTTGCAGTCAAATCGTAAACGTGAGGTATCAGGTAGCAGCCTGGAGTTGTTTTGGCGTTAAGCCTTCGGTAATCACCGGCTGGACGCCAGTCGTTGCTGTCCTTTTTGGGAACTATGTGCAGTGGTGATGCCCGAGGGCTGTTTGACGGCTTGACAATGCCCAGTTCGAGCATGTGGTCGAATTCGCTTTTCGCCTCTTCGAGCTTATCGGGGGCTAGACGGCTCGCTTTGGATGCCACAGGTGGACCTGTGGTCGTGATGTGATGCATAACATTGCTGGCTACGCACGGAAAAGTGTGCTTCGGTTGTAGCAACTCTGGATATTTCTCCAAAACTGCTTGGCTGGACGCATTGCCTGATTGTTTTATTCTAGCGAGGGCTAAACTCGGACCTACATAGGTTGTGCCGCCAATAGATAACTTTGTGTCGTTATCTATCAGGCGTCGACGGCGAGCATCTACGAGTAGATCGTAATGGTTTAGCAAATCTGTGCCGATGATGGGCATAGAGACGTCAGCAAGGAGGAAAATCCAGTGGATAGGTTTACGTAAACCTAAGTTGAGGTAGGCATACCGTCTCCCGAATGTCCCGATTGCCTTGCCGTTGGCCGCTTGGGGATCGAAGGATGGGTCATGATGACGCTCCTTTGTCAGTGCGGGAGGAACGCCAACTTCTGCGCCGGTGTTGACGAGGTGGCGGACTTTCGTTTTAACATCCGTGACGTAGAGCAAACAGCTGTTTCCGCCGTCTACGGTTGCCGTGAACACGTGCCTGCGTGACCGTTTCCCGAGTTTGTGTTCTTGTTAAAACTGAGTGGTCCCGACATTTTCTGGCTTCGTCTTGGTAAGTATTATGAAACCAGCACCTTTTAGGGTTTTCCACCCTGTTAGGTTTGGTTTTAGGGCAACCACGCGAGTTGCTGCGATGCACTAAGACGCGTTTCTGTGGAGTTCTACGTGAACTAGGACCTCGAGATCGCAGCAACTATTTATCAGAGTTGCACAGCTTGGTCACCTCTGAATCCTGGCTCTGTGGTTTGTCGCAGACAGAATATACGTTGGAGACGGGTCTGCTAGAAATCTCCAGTATTGTATCTGCCGAGGCTACCAGGTCATCCAGTGGGACTGACTGCAGTGTCATCAACACGGTTTGCACCGGTTGTGGTAGTTCTGGGAGAAATAGTTCTCGGAAGAGGCCACCGTCGAATGTTCGTGCACCCATGACTTCTCGCGTGTGTGCAAGGACTTCAGTAGCTGAGTGGCTGCCTAGCTCGATGTTTCGAAGCAATTCGTCTAGGCCCTGGACATCTGTGAGATAGCTTTTCTTCAAGAGTGCGGCCTTGAGAAGTGTATTAGGATCACTTACTTCAGGATTACACATGTGTGCCGTAATATGTTTGTTTAATTCCCGCGGTAGTGAACATATGACGGCAAGAAATCGAGAATGAGGATCTGAGACGCCCTGTTCTCGAAAATCTGCCTCGATATACAGAAACCATGTTTCTGAATTGTCTGGCCAATTTGACACGAGATGGATAGTGTTCGTAGTCAGCTTAGTACGAATAAGCTTGGGAGTGCGGTCGGACATGAGAAAGTGCAGTAAGTGGATATATAAATGTTATCGAAATGAAAACGATATACAAATATGAAATGGAATAGGCCCACCAGTTCAATATTTGTTATTGGTCGGGATATGTGATCACGTCGGGCTCACCAATTTAGGATTTGTCCTGGTGCGAACTTGACAGACGCAAAGACCAATCACTAATTATTCGAACTCGTTATATAACCACGAGTACGAGATCAAGGAAGAACACGATAGCGTAGTCGGACGGAATAGTATATTTGGATGGTTGTGCCAAGATACCGATGCGTTTCAACTAACTGGCTAGAGAGTCGAATACGAGCAGTGCAACGTAACACGACAGCGTTCCAAGTGGCGAGGATGCTTGACCAGGTGCCTTCAGCCTAGTGAGTCCAGTTAAACTGTCAGGGTCAGCATCAATGTCGAAAGTCGTCAAACCCTAGGCTATTGATTTTGGGGAAGTGTATGACGCTACAACCAGAATCTGGCTGAAAGTGAAAAGTCACTCCCTTTTTGCCCATCCATCCCGGTATTCCACAACCTAAGCATCTGCATAAGGACCGATTCCTTCTCCATGTTATCACCAGTAACATTTATCTTTGCTTAAATACTTTCAACTACTTATGAGACAACTGAGGGAGTTCAACCGAACAAAAAAACCGAGGCTCGAGACCTAGATGCGAGAGCTCAGAAGCTACGAGTTTTCTTCACTATCACTATTGGTGTCGGATGTTGAATGTTAGAAACTCATGTAATGTATTCTATATATTGGGCGTTTGAAAGGTAAGTTGTTTAGATGTTTCACAAGTAGATGTTCCACAAGGTTATTTACGAGATAGATCTTCATTTATCACGTTAATGGCTTTCCAATCTGTTCTGGTTGTTGGAGGTCGTTTTGATGACAATTCGAGCCAGGAAAAACTATCAAAGTTCCTGTATGATGGTATGTTTTCTAGTTAACTGAGAGAATATAGAAATGTGCTGTTTGATAGGGCCAGTCCTCTCTAACAAATAACTTAAATACTTCCACTGAAACTGTTTGTATATTTCTCTTGATAATCTGGGATGTTCGCGCAGTAGGATTTACATATTACTGTTAAGGGCTTTGTCCAAACTCACTTTTGTGCCTTATTCCATGTGAAATTTCTAGACTCTGCATTCTAATAGAAAACATTAAGTCAGGATTAAAGGTGAAATGAAAATTTAGGTCGCGGGAGGATTCAAACCTGCAGCCTCATGCAGACCTTCAGTTGCCTTTAATCTTCGCTTAATATCAATAGCATCAGCCTGTCAAAACATGGCTATCTCAGAGACACTGGTAACAGAAAACTATTTCCTTCTATAGGCTTTTTATTCTTAATTTTGTGGTATTTAGCCAATTTCGACGCAAATGAAAACCTAAATGTAAGAGTGGGAACAGAAGACCAGCATATACAAATGTTCCTTTCAATCGTATGAAATATGTATAGACATATCAAGTAAACGTATTCTGTATTGGCTTAAAAGTACAGTGGACTGTTCGACTCAGACCCGGTTTCAAGCAACTTACAAATAGAATTTTGACAACCCTATTACTGCAACTTAAAGCTCTGGCTTTCTGGGGTGGTTAGAAATGAACTATTAGCGTCGATGTTTGCAAGTTAATCCCATCTTTGGAATTCCTCTCAGGCTTTTATAGACACCTGGTATTTGATTATAGTGGTATTGCATTGAAAGTTAATGGAGATAGGAAAGTGTGAATTGCTGCATCCTAAAACACTAACGGGATTTCAGCATGAAAGGTCTGATGATTCTAATTACCACTCCTTACTGTATTATACTCCTGAAACTAGGATATAGCAACTGTACAGTGCTACAAGGTTTTCTGTAGTTTCCTCTATGTTCCTAATCTAGGATGGCAGCCATCTGTAAATAGTCATAAAGAAATAATAATGATAATGATGGGAATTATAATGAAAGACAATGAGAACTGGACCAATGCAGGTTTCATCCGCGTTCATTGGACATCCTTAAGTCAACCATACTTTTTATGTAATGTTTCAATTGTCTTACCACTTCTGACAAACAGAATCCCAATTTAAGTATTCAAATGATATCATTATAAGGTAGGCCTTGATGTGAATACGTGTTTCTGGTAAGTTCTCGTCCGGCTTTACAGTTACATTTACAAATTATTCATCATAATCATCTGATGCCAACATAGTTAGTTGAATTCGAATGTATGAATAAAAGGATAACAATAGTTCATATGACCGAATTCAGTTAACCATGAGTAATTTGTAAGTGTGATTGTAAATCCTGACGAGAATTTACCGAAAATACGTATCCACTTCAAATTCTGTTTTCTAAGACTTCTAATTATGTCATGTGCATGATCTCTCTTGAACAATCATTGTGCATCAGTGGACTCTGAACAAACATGTTTCCTTTGTTACACGATATCATTAAAGGCAAAGAGACACATATTCTTCGATTGATATGGAATATTATCGCTCAACATTTTGGTTTTCTAAAATGTATATCAAAGTGACACGGAAAAAGTTGAGTAGGCATTGAAAGAAATAATAATAACTTTATCGGAAATCATAAAAGGTTACAGAATCAGGAGAAAGAGGGATCAAGAAAGTGAAAATGTACAGCAATAAAATTTTCAGGAGGATGGATTTCACAAATGATTTTTTGGTCATCAAAATGTTCGATATTTGAAACTGATTACGCTACATTCGTTAGACCATAGAGAGAGGAGAGAAAATAAACAGATAAAGTTTGATAAGAAATAATCAAAGCCTTTAGGAAAATGTGGAGCATATACATCTAACTCACTCTGAATGACTTCAAGCCCTGCCACCAATACTTCTAAACCATTGATTCGTATATAGTACCTCAACTAGACAGCTTGCACCCTTAAAAACAGGTCAGATCAACGTTCAGAAGCTTAATCTTGTGAGTTGTTTGTAGCAGGTTATGAGCCTAGGTTATTTTTTTTTGGTTTTTGATAACCATTAGCTTTCTGAACTGGACTGTTGCTTGAAAGTTAAATACGTAAAGTAATAAGGGGAATCTCCGGTGGTTAGTTTGATTCATCCCATTACCCTTTGTGCATCAAACTTGACACTCACTGAGTTCTCAATAATGATCCAACTGAGTTGTTTTAGAATGGATCATTTCTCAAAACAGTTCTATCTTTTTTAGTATGTTATCTTGGTAGAGGTACAGGAGGTTTATTGGGTTTTTTTCCCTAGCTTTTTTGATGACACACTATCAAAACCGCACTCAATATGGGTTTCAAACAGGCTTTAAAGGACTAAAAAAACTTAAAAGGGCAAGAGTCTTAACAATGAATCCAGTATTTCTAATGAAGCCGCTTAAAATGAGGTATAGAGTGACTCATATCGAGTTATTTGTTTGAAGATATTCTGTCGCGGTGTGGCAAACTGACTTTCAGAACTTATCTACACTTTTGTCATGTCAAAGGCATTACGGAGTAGTTAATTTTCATATGTTTTTTTTAGAATATAAGTATATATCTCGTTATTGTAAACAGTCACTAATGTAAAACTAATAGGTAGTGTAAATTCAGCGACACTGTATGGGAACATTGGTAGATATACTCCGTTATCATACTTTCTCATTTGGCACACTTTCCATAGCTCTGCATCAGGCCTTAGTGTTAAGTTTTGATTAGAGTTCTCCCAAACTAACTACGTTTTAGGTAAACAGAAACTGCCAACTGTCCCGATGCTTCTAGAAATGCTTTCATTTTGACTTCCAGAATCAGCAAGTTTACTGAACTTCAGAGATTTCAAGAAGCATCAAACGATTACGTGGGTTTTTTTGTTAACGATGAACTGACTTACTTCTACAACTTCACATCATATAAGGCATCACTTGAATCTTATTATTACGACTTGGTCATGACGTTGCTTGTGGAAACATGTAGCTTTTTATTGTGACTCTATTAACTTCATGAATATCATTGACTTACTAGTTCTAAGATTCTAATTATCTACACTAAGCCCAGAAGTTACTATGAATTAGTAAACTCAAGCAACCCAAAACGCCTTGGTTTAAAGGACGAAGTTGACCAAGTTTACAACACTTTACTGGAGTTTTTGCAACCACACATCTCGAGCCTGACCGTTATACATATAAAAAGACCATGATTATTCCCTCTCTACATTGATAATTAAATACTTTTTTTCGCGAGATCTCTTTGTTTACCTATTGATTTTTAGTTACTGTTATTTCAACATTTCCTGATTAGGTATGTGGTTTTGTAATTTCGTAATTTCGCTCTAACTCCCTTCATGTCTTTGTTTATGTGACCTCCTTTCCGTACTACTCCATAATTCAGTTCCTAACTTAATACAAATTGCCATTGAATTTGACTAGGATTTAAAGGTTTTGTTTCCAAATACTTTCTCAACTTGCTTTTTCATTGTTATAACTGAATTTTAAACTATCTACAAAATTAGTGCTATTCATTCTTTAATTATGATGATTCGTTGTAAACGATAGGCCACACATAGTTAAAGGGAACCAATGAAATAAAATCAGATTGTTTTGTTCAAATCTGTCTAACTTATTGTGTTTAAAACTGTCAAGCGAAAGACTAGATGAAAACGGTGATAACAGTACTCCACATATGTCAGTCAAGAGCTGTAAGTCAGTTATGGTAAATACTGTTCGAAAGCACTATATCAATAAGTGTGACTTTATATCTGTATTCAGCTATGGCATATTCTTGACATTGATAAGATACACCACACCTTAGGTACTGATCAATATGAGGTGCTCCACAGTGGAGTTGTGGCTCATTGGTCTACACAGTAGACTCTCAACCAATGGTTTACGGCTCCAAACACCACTGCACTTGCCAAAGTTTTCTCAGTCGGGTGGCAACACAATTGATGCGGTTAGTTGCCTACTGCTTGGACGTGCACATGATTATTGAATGCAATTCGATTCGATGACCCCATTGTCCAAATATTTTTATTATCCTTGTTCATAAAATCAGTGTCACTGAACACCACCGCGATTAAATAATCGTAGACATGTCATGCTTAAATTTGGTATTTTAATCTTGCGTTTCCAAATAATTAGGAATGTGACTCCAAAGACCATTTAACCCGTGATGCTGAACTTATAACTCTATGTCTACCTCCACTTTATGCAAGTTGGAGCAGAGGGAGCCAGCGCAGATCTCAGTTCTCGGTCGGATTTCGTCTATTCAAGCGTCACTACTTTCGAAGCCTGTGGGACCAGTCCTTTCAACAAGGAGGAAGCAGCTATAGCAACATAACAACATCAGAGTGAATACTGCTGGCAGAGGACTGTGTTAACAGTCCCGTAAACTGAGCAGTAAGTCCAAAAATTACCAGTGTCGAAGCTTCAACTCATCCGGACTCTTGATTTAATTGGATTGTTTGACCCAACGCACCTCTCCATGGGTAGAAGTGCTTGAGATACATCTAACTGATTCTTCGCAATTTTGCAGAATCGATACAACTAACCTTCCAGAAAGGTTACCTTCCTCTCACCAACATTTCAGGCATGAAGGCTGCTCCCAGGTTATCTGTCTGAGGCCAAGGCTACAGCCAAACTATACCCGGGATTCCGTGTTGAATACCACCTGCCTTCATGAGGATGACCACACCACCTCTCTTGGGACTGCTTCAACAACACTGATAACCGGTATTAAGATGCTGGATTCCTTTGCTTTTCTGTGGCACTGCCCCCAATGAACTGGGTGGAATCCTGACAGTTAGTTGGCCCGTCCGTGCTTTGGAGGCTTGTACCACTGATCAGCGCATATGGATCTCATCGATTATTATTACCACTAAATCAATTATGATGGTGTATTGGTTCAAATCTAGTGTGGAGCTTTGACTCAGTGGCTTACGGAGATAGTTCGAGCCCCTCTCCACCCACCGAGTTTTCGGTAGCCAGCTAGTATTACTAACCCTCACATAATAGGTTTGGCTAGCTTTGTACTGCACGGATGTGCTTAGGTAACTAAATACGTTTCTTTTTCGTTTGCAAATCCGTCAGGGCCGTGAGGAGGTTCACTGTCGTTGCGTACCTAGGCTTGGCTAGTAACACCGGAGAACATATCATCTCCGGTTGTCCTGGCCAGCAGCTTAAGTGTCAACAACTTTTAACCACGACGTGTAGAGCTTCTTTACTCTGACGCTTTGACAAGTAGCCATAGTGAGGTATTTGGCCACCTTGAGAGAGTCACAGTTAATCCGTTCGTGCTGGACTTATAACTCTCTATCTACTTCCACTTTATACAGCATGGAATACTTACAGTTTCATTCCTCTAATCCACCTTTTTCATTTCTATTTATGTACCATAGGTTTAGTGGCTGCATTCAGTGGCAGTGATCTAGATAACTTGGATGCACAATTTTTGGATTGTTTAGCGAGACCTGCAAATCCAACAGAGACTAAGGAATGTAAGTCATTTTTCTCTTTTTCAACGTGTTTATTGTTTTATTTTTGTCAATTCTGTAGTTTAGTAATAATGGGCAGTGGCTAGCAGTGGAATCCAGGATGCGCATTTCGTCCTATTTGGGACTCTTCAGCTGGATATACCTGCTTCCCAGTGAGTGATGTTGTTCCCACCGGGACTTGGACTTGGGAGCAATCGCTTCAAACGCCAGCGCGTTACCCACTACACCACTGAGCCACAATAACCGCTTCTTGGGCGATGGGTATAGGTTTAGTGTTATTGCTTGTATTACACAGTCGTTTATTAGAATCTTTCTTATTCATAGTCAAAGATTGTATTACCTCAACAATATTATACATCCAATAGAAATTAAAGTAACTGAAAGAATTGTTTTACAACTAAATCTTTCAGTTTTTCATGACTTTGATAATATTAATTTGGCTTCAGTCTGACAAAGATGCACACCAAAGTTAAATAGTTGTGAAAGCTGCATCTGTCTTTATGGCTAAATAATTGACGGAAAATAATTTATTAAATAATTACTACACTAAGTTATGGAGTTAAGTAAGTGATAATTCGAATTAATAGCTCGGAGAGTTGATTCCCGAAGTTCCAATGAAAAGCCATGATCAATGGAGTCAACCAAGACGAATATGAGGACGGTTACTCAGTGACGACGATAAAGGTTACACTATATCATGAAATAACAGAAGTAGGAAATATACGCCATTGGATTCCGACCCAGTGTCTAGCTCAATGGTAATGTGCTGGCCATAGAGCCTGAAAGTTTTAGGTTGGATCCCTGACTGGGTGAGGTCATGGGTGCACATTGTTGAGGAGTCACATATTAGGATGAAACAACTGTCCAGTGCCTCCGGGTCTTCAATGTTCCTCCAAATGATATCAATCCATGATGAATTCCAACTTGAAATCAATCAATCAATTAATAAATCTCCATAAACCTCCAGATTGAACTAATAAGCTGTTAGTTGGTTGGAGACAACCAGCAGGAAGTCCTGTTCCACTTAGGCTTCGTCCTTGTTGGGATTCATCAGTAAGGTATATCTGCAACCTCCTGTGAGATTCGAACCGGCGTCACCCAGTGTTGGCTGTAACACAGAGGACATCAGTCCAGTAGTGGTTGTAGATACGTCTTGTTGACGAATGCCAACCATCACAAAACCTACGTCAAGCAGGGTTTCCTGCTGATTGCGTTCCATCAACTAACAACCATTAAAGTGCACCACGATGGTGAGCCTCCTGGCTTTTTAGCCACATTGAAAAATGATCGATAGAATTCGGTCAGCACTGAAGACTAGAGAGCATGAGATTGGTTGCTATGCTGTAGTCAGTCAGTGAATTAATAATCTGTCTAGACACAGCAAAATTTACTGCCTCAGCAACACACCAGGGTAATACACTTGGTGCCATTCAGAAGTACAGGCCACATGTGATCAGAGTTGTCATTCAAATAAAGTGAAGTACTCTATTCATATGAATAATTCCTAGAAAGGACTTATGTATTTTCTATACAAGTCTAGTGAAGAAAAACGATGTTACTGTGTAACAGGTTCGTTCACCTTTCTTACACGGCTATAAGATATGACCGTTTAAAGTACAAGATACGAAGAAGCTACAGGTTTTTGATCAGATTCATCTGTGTAGCATTGTATGCATGCCACAGAACCATAAAGTGAGCAATGTTGACGTTAGGTGTGGTAACCGATGAAGTCATGATCCTTCATCGATTGGACTGGCTAAGAAATATGTTATATATGTCGAACCATTGCTTTATTGAATGTCTGATATTGACTAGAATAGAATTAGTTGAAAGAAAATCTAGGGATCAGTAAACTGCAATATTATATGAATTTACAGAATTTCTGAATACCAGTCTAAGCCATTTATGGAATTGTAGGTTACTTTGATTTGGTCTTGAAGACATTAGGAATGAATATTTTGATGTACTTACTGTCATAGCTTAAATTGATTAAAACAGCAAATATGTATTCAAGTTGATGATATTTATCATAGATCTACGTCAGTTAGAGGAATACTGGACAGGTTTTTCATCCTAGTATGGGACTCCTCAATAGAGTACATCCATGACCCCACCTCACCAAGGATTGAACTCAAGACATTCAAGTTACATGGCCAGCTACTGGGTCAGAATCCAATGGTCCATATTTCCAAGTTCTGTTAGTGTATATCATATCGATACTTTGGACAATTTCATTAACCTTCACTTTATCCTTCCTACTCTTGGGAGCTTTTTATTTGCCTCAACACCATTACTCTTCTATTCACTTTTTCTGTGTTATATATTGTGGAATATGGCAACGTGAAGTGAGTTGTTAATCATTTATTAGTACTTTTACTTTCCCGCTGTAATATCGGATCGAATTGATCGATCTCTGTCGACAAATGAACTCCTATGCGAATGTCTTGATGTTGTCTGGTGGGTTAGGATTGGGATCCAGGATATGCGTTTCGTCCTACTTTGGATTATTCAACTGAATCTACTTGCATCCCAGTGAATGGTAATGTTCTCACTGGGATTCGAACTAACTATCCATCGCTTAAAATGCCTTTCAGAGTCCTTTTGTTGACATTCTCAGGGCAGTATACAGCAGAAAAACTTTTGGTGATATTATTAAAATTTAATATATTTTACTTCAACTTATGATTCTTTACACCCACTTATTCCTTGACCCATCACTGTATCATTATTCTTTTTGTTGACTTTCTATCTCTTTACTCTTCTGTGGAATAGCACTTTGGATAGAAACGCTTTATTATAGTAGAATTAGTCACCATGTGCCAGCCAATTGATCTGTAGATTTGAATCTAAGTGCTGAAGTGTATAATAATGCTGACTGTATCCTTACACTGAACACAGTACCACTGCATGACAGTATCATATCATTTAACACAGTTGCTTGACTTCACACTGGGTCGATAAACTTCAATCAAAACTTTGAATTTGATAGGTGTATTGATCACCAACTGGTTACTGATTCATGAACTTTATACCATTTCAAAAAGAGACTATTAGAGACTGGATGGCTTGGTAACGAAACCTCCGACCTCATCGATAAATGAAGTAGGGTTTAATCACCTATTATTATTTTATTATTAGTCTCTTGGGTTCCTAATGGAACATAGGGCTTCAGTAGCACGTCTCCAGTGAACTCTGTTCTCTGAAATCTTTTGAACCTGGCTCCACGACAACCCACAAGCTCTCATTTCCTCCTCGCACGATCTCTTCCATGTCACCCTCAGCTGGGACGCCTAACTCGTCATTTCCCATCTGGGTTCCACTCGAGCAACTGGCCTGACGCGTGATGTCCCCAGTCGGCCTTCTCAGTGTATGCCCAATCCATCTCCATTTCCTTCCACCGCATATTTGTTGAGTGATAGCTTCTTGGTTGGTTCGTTCCAAGAGTTCCTTGTTGCTTATTCTTTGTGGCCATGTGATCTTCAGTAGCGAGCCAGTGTAGGTAGCAGTTGTTGATGAATGTCTGTAGTTTTTTGGAGATCCCTTTCGTAACACACCAAGTCTCTGAACCATCACATAGAAGCACTGACTTGACTGGTATTGGTGTTGAGAATCCGGATCTTGTTCCACATGCTGAGTGCAGAAGATCTCCAAACTGGTTTCAGGCTAATGAACGTTTGTCTTGCTTTTCCGATTCTGACTTTGACATCCTCGTCTGTGCCTGTGCCACCTGTAGTTGAAACAGTGCTGCCTAGATAGGTGAAAGAGGCTACTTCCTTTAAGGGTTTAATCACCTAGGGAATATAAATTCCTTTACGATTGTTGGTGCATATTATTGACAAGCATAAAATCCATATTAAACTAAACTTTCTATTGGTTCTGTTCCATCACCTAACTGCTTATTTAATGATAAAAATACATTCATAGTCATATCTTAAGTAGGTATCATCTGTTTTTCAAGTTGTCAGTGTAAATCCAATATTTTCAAGCTAATATTCATTATGAACCGAAATTAGTTGGAGGAACATTGGGAACGTGGGAGCACTATACAGCTTATTCGTCGTAGTATGAGACTTCTCAACAGTGCTCACCCACGACCCCACCCTGCCCCTCCAGGGATCGAACCAATAACCTTCAGGTTCTGTGGCTAGTAGGTTACCGTTGAACTAGCTACTGGGTTGAAATCCAATGGTCCATATTTTCTACTTTTGTCAGTTCATGACCATCACCCAATGTCATCTTTGGGTGTTTGTCCTCACAGCCACGAAGTTTGCCCCACTGATCATGATTTCTCATTGGAACTTCGGGAATCACCTCTCGAAGCTAGTCACTAATGAGCTTAATGGTGTCGTGATGGCCACGGAACCTGAAGGTCCTGGGTTGGGTCATTCGCATGGTGGGACAAGGTCATGGATACGCACTGTTTAGGACGAAATAGCTGTCCATTGCTCCCAGGTTTCCAGTGTTCCTCCAAGTGATATCAGTCCATGATGAATATCAACTTGAAAAATCACTAAATCCCTCCCAAACGCCTAAATTAAATGCAATATGCCTACAATTTGTTTGTTTTTACCTTATTACTTCTAATGATATTGAAAACATTTTAAACTGCATATTTTATCTGTTTTCAACATTTTTCAATGGATATTTTTCGTAGTATTGGACAAACATGAGATAAACTGTAGTTCTAATTTACTTGGCACTGTGCTGTGTTGGTTAATAATGTTTGTATAAGCGTGAGTAATAAAGTCTTTTAAAATATCAATTCGGCTGTCTGAGATAACCTTGGTTTGATAGACTTTTATGAGTACTGAATGATTATTTAAGAGTGAAATGAAAATCTGGGTCATCTCAGGTTTCCAACCGGTGATCTACGGGTTAGCGGACCGGTACTCTAGCAACAGATCTATGAGATCTAACTGCTGGCCAAATTTTAATTTCACTCCAATCATCAAAGTTTTACCCAACTGTCGTATGAATTCATGATGCTTTATTTATCGTTTGCT